CAGTATTGAAGTTCATGATATATTAGTATATAAACTTCTTCTACTATGCATAAATGTCGACTTATTTTCCAAATGAACAGGGCTTTCTGTTCATTATCTTTCAATATTCTCCCTCCTAGACCTTTTTCCCTATGTGAATCATGCACACAACACCTATGACAACTCTGCTGCTCCAGAGCTGTCATGTGCATGCCTGTACATACTCAAACTCTACAAATATTAAAACAAAGCAAGGGCTAATCAGTACATGGTTGGAACAGCCTTATCCTCAAATTCCTGTATATAAACTGTCAGGTATATAAGAATGGCAGGGGAAAAATCCCCACTATTAATATATTATATAGTGTTTGTGTTATATAGTTATTATTTTTATTCATATGAAAAAAGCACGTAGACAGAAGCTTTCCCCTAACAGGAAACCAGCCCAGCACAGGTGAGTTACAGCAATAATGACCCCAACAGAATTTTCACATATGGGAAACTAGCTGCTGCCTTTACACTTCAAGCTTACACTAAAAATTAACCTTGTTGTTAGTCCCACAAAATTTCTCAGAATCTCTTGTTATTATCAGCAAACACATGCAGAGACTTTCCAGAAAGCATCATTTGACTAGGAGAGGTCCTGTCTCTAAACCTACAAAAGTAGTCCCAGCCCAGACTGAAGCATTTCTTGACCTCAGAGTTGCTAAAAAACCACAAGTCTCTCCTCCACTTTTACCACTGCTCACCCTTCCTTACTATCCACCTTCTAAGTCCTCTGCCTTGCTGAATGAAGGTGCAGACAGGCTGAAGAGGGAGCTCTCAATCTCTACTCAGTAAGAAAGAAACAAAGGAAAAAAGGCACATTTAACACTTTCTGAGCTGTCTGCAAACTACACAGGGCAAAATATTAGTTTACCTCCGTTGAAAAATTATGGTTATGTAAGCCTGGTAGAAAATAAGGACTATATGAATCCAAGTGAAACACCGTTATGAGCTTCCCTTTATCTTGGAAATTAGGTATCACTAGGAATACAACACCTCCATCAATGAGCACAAAAGCAACCACTTGTATTAAGATTTTTGTAGTAAAAATGCTCTACGTTTTCCTACTTACCACAAACTCCAGATCTCACCTATAAAAAGCTTGAAGACTAGTGTACTAAACCCATCAAAATGCAACATTTGAATAGAGGCCTCATTTTCCATTACTCTCCCAAAAAAGCTATGTGCCAATTATGAAGACAGATCAGCTTAAACTTCAAGAGAGAATTTAAAGTCTGTAACAGTTTGTTTTATTAAAGCCTGTAACAGTTTATTTTATGCCTACTTGCAATGCACTCATCCTAACACCACACATTGAAGCTATTTTTATACTTCTACCAGCAAGAACAAATATATGGTCCCAAATAAAAATTAAACAAAAAAAAAGCTGTTAAGCTGTTAATTTTTATGAATGTAATATGTGTAGAAGTGTCACCTGGAAATGAACATTACAATTAGACTTAATATTTGAAAGATGACAAATTAAGCTCCCTATTGATTATTTTTCTCTCTTTTAGCAAATTTATCTTTGTAACACATGGCTACAGATTGCTATAACATGGATCAGTATTAGTCATCAAATCCCACAACATTAGAAACTAGTAACTCTCAGTCACAGTAACAGATGCAGGTTTTTTTGAAGAATGGTATAAACATGCTTTTATATCATTTTTTAACATCAAAAAGAGTTATGCTCAAAACCGCCACACCTGCTACATAAAATACAGCGAACACATATATATATATCCCAAATCAAATATTTTGGAGTAAAATACACTGAGATGGGAAAAACTCCAACAAGAATTCCAACACAGAAAAATACAGATAACGTTTCAACTAAAAGAACTGTAAACAGAGTTCAGTATGGAAAACAGCAGAGTACAAGCCAAAATAACCACGTGCTTGTGATTAAAGGGACTTCAGTGAACTTTAAAGGCATCTTGGGCAACATTTTCACAAAAGGTGACAACTCTAAGACATGGCTACAGAAAGTATCGTGCTCCATTTCAATTTCTCAGCCTGTCTGGATTTCGAATATTTTTTTTTTTTGAGAAAGCAGGCAAATCTCTCAAAAGACTACCTAGAAAATCTAAGGACTTTAAGATAATTTACACAGAGGAGGTCGCTAAATGTGAACTTGAAAAGCTAATTACTGTCTCCCAGGCACCCTGCTAGCACATGACCAGAGATTTAGCTTCAGCAGTTTAAGATATTATTGCCCTCAGCCCACTCTCCTCCTCTGCCACAGGCCACTGGCTACTGCAAAGGTGGCTGAATTTGCTGCGTTTCTACACCACTGTAGCTTACAGTGTAACAATATCTTTGCCAGAAGTCACTGCTAAGAAATATTATCTGAATTTCTACAACTCAGCCTTCCATGCTCTGTGCCATCCAGCATCACCAGCAATGAAGACACCTGGGAAAACACCGTGTAATCCGTACAACCACACTGCAGTCACTGCCAGGTCTTCTAGTGGCTGTCCCCCCTTTTTGCCCTTATCTATTATGCATCTCATCCAAAAAGGTTCATGTTACTGACTGAAGACAAAAACCAACAGCAACACACCTGCTAATCAAGTGGAACATAAGATGGACCAAGACTTACAGCCCCGAAGAGTCAAAACTGTCTCACTGCAACGTGAGAGACTCACAACTCACTGCAGGACTGGGTTTCTAAAGCACAAACCACCACACAAAGAGCTCCTGTGCTCGAGCTGGAGATGCTGAAACCATCACTACCAAAAAAAGCCATCTCTGGTACAGAACTGAGGGACAAGCTGATACACCAGATGGCTGTGGGACCACTCAGAGGGACACCAACAGGCGGCAGAAATGGGCCAACAGGAATCACAGGAATTTCAGCAAAGGGAAATGCCGAGTTTGGACAATGCTCTGAGGCACATGGTGGGATTCTTGGGGTGTCCTGTGCAGGTCCAGGAGCTGGACTCGGTAATCCTGATGTGTGTCTTCTAACTCAGCATATTCTACGATTCTAA